ATTTCTATATAGATTCTTCTCGTTTTTATATAGGCTACAAATATATATGATTTTAGGAAAAAAAACGTAATTTTTTAAAAAAATCTTAACTTTCACTTAAAAATATAAAGAAATTTTATAGTTACTAACCAAAGATCCCTAGAGATCCAATATTTTCTTATATTTAAGAAATTAGTTAATTCAACCCCACGTTCAAAATTTTGGGAACAGAAAACTATGTTGGGTAGTGATTGTAGTAGGTCCCGGGAACAGAGTACATAGTTTCTATGTTATTCGCCGAAGTAGCAGACTGCACCCAACAACTGGACTGATAACTCCGTTGTTCTTTGAACAAACCACTTGTTTGTAAAACCAGTACACAACAGAAAACGTTTCAGACAGTGTCGTCAAGAACCGTGAAGTTTTTGAAATATTATATTTGTGATAGGGAAGTGGGTAGTGTGGGTAGCCTCTTACATCAATTTCGATGATCAGCTTGGAGAGTACTTTACGAAGGTTTAAACAGAGGCAAGCCCATGCATTTGGACGAGAAAATTAACAAGCTACAGAATTTCAAACCAGAAGATGATACTCAGAGGTATTCGTATACATTCTCCGACTAATTTGACCAGCATTCGGGCAAACCTATCCATTGAAAACAATGGGAAGGGCTTTCCCTTTGTAATGTCCAGATGCAAATGAATAAAGACTAATCCTGTAAGCATTTCACAAAACTGGTCTGATCACATTTATCGACATTATTCATCCAACAGGGCAGTATTGTACATTGAGTGTGATGTTTCAGATTGAAACCGACGTTATTCTCTATGTTCTACGACCATATAGAAATGGCTGCAAAAAAATAGGTCTAGTGTAAAATCTGAAACATATTTTCTCACAAAAGTTACCCGGATTTGTTCCAGACTGTTTAAAACAGAAAAATTTTTCATCACATCGAAACTTATTTTGGAGGGAAGAGACCCTTTCTTCTTGTAAGAACCTGAAACAAAATCAAACCTAATAGTATGTAATTAAACCTACATGGATATATAGAAATCCGATATTTGTTTATGATGATAACCTTACTCAGCTCACTCAGAGTTCTCTGAACAATGCTGATAAACTTCCTTTTTCCAACTCATCTAAACTGATAAATACAAATATAGAATTCTATAAAATTTTGCATGTGTATTGAATGAATAATAATTTACTAACTAATGAATTGAAATAGATCTATAACAAATATATAATATATATAATAATGCGATTATTTTGCAGCGATTACTGGACTCTTGGGTCTTAAATCCTCAATTTCATTGGTTTGAGGAACCAAGAACTGGGTATGCAATTGGTTATTATAGCCAGCCATACCGCCAGAACCATTGGGCTCTTTGTATTTGATCATCGACTTGGCATATAATTCTTCTTGATATTTAGCAGGATTGAAGTTGTTGAGAAGTACATCTGGTCCCATGATGACCCATCCGGGACGTAATTTAATTGGAGTGTTCTTACCCAACTTGGATGGGATTAAATGTAATCTTCTATTGGAGTTGGAGAAATTTTCTGCAACACGATAGATAGCTTCTGGAACTGCATTGAAGCATTCGCCATTTGGTTTTGTAGGACTTTCGATTTGTAAATCGGTATCAACATTACAATGAATTAAATGATTATCGGATGATCTTCTTACTGTACCAGTAATACACATCCAACAATGCCATTGTTGTTTTTCAAACAAAGGAATTGAATCTAAATCTCCATAATTGCCTGGATAGTAAGGTGATTTACTATCAGTAGGTAAGAAAATCAATTCTTCAGATCTTCTAAATTTCTTATTGAAATTATCATTATTTAAAAGATTAGTTAATTCTTGAATCTTTTGGGTTGTAGCCCAAATGAAAAGGAATCCCGGCTTTGCACATAATTTATAAATTGGAATACTATTTAAGATTGGTAAAATGAATTGATTTTCAACCAAAGCTCCAATCATAATGACATCAAATTTTAATCCATAAGCATCAATCCAATGGTTTAAAGTAGGAACAATTTTATCTGAACTGATTCTTACCCCATATGGTTGAAGTGCATGTTTTTTAACTTGTTGACGTTTTAATTGATGCAACTTAGCTAATTTTGGATAGCCTTCAATTGGATTATTAATGTTTCTAATATATTTGGTTGCAGGAATACCAGTATGGACATAATTGTTGCAATAATCTAACTCCTCTTCTTTAGTATGTGGTCTTTGAGATCCTCTATTGTTGCTATTGGTCTTACCGGAGTTTTGGGAGTGGATTGATTTGAGAGGACTTTTGCTGATGGCACTAGAATTACGTGAACCAAATTTGTTGTAAGTATACATGATGACTGATGCAGGATTATAATGACAGAATAAACGGTCAAAGTGAATATGAATTTAAGGGAACTTTCTTCGTTTTTATATGAACCGTTCAAACAGAAATCAACTTACGTTCTCTATTACCTTTATGCCTTTGTATAGAAGCTGTAGCAGGATGTTTCAGGGTGTTAACATGTGTTTCAAGTTTTGTTACTGAGTTGAGGTTAAGGACTGTGTCAAATTTTTTTTGGTGTGTTTCAGAAATTTACAACCAAACTTTCTAAAGTGTTTTGTAATTTTTTATTTCTTTTTTTTTTTTGGCTGCAAAAAATTTAAAAAAGTTTCGCATCAAAGAATTGTTTGTAACCCAAATTAACACTCATTTAGTTTATATTCAAACCACCTGATACAACACAGATATAAAACATCAAGAAAATAAAGGAACGCTTCACATTAGTTTCATTTTACAACATATTCCGTTGCAATATGTTCTCCAAACGAAGGAGACCATTACTTCTGGAACAAACTTCAATACAACTGAATAATATGGAAGATCGTTTAATTAAGAGGGCAATAACAGACATCAAGAACTATAACGAATTTGTACGTATATTCCAAGATTAATAATAATTCTGAAAGCATGATTTCACTAACTAAACAAAAATAGACTAAAAGCAATTCCTATTATCTAAAGTCAATCCAACAACATGTGGACGAACTTTGTCCTGAACTTGCAAAACTTTGCGAATTGGTGAATCAAGAGAATCAACAGCAAATCAGTATTATTTCTAGAATGATTGTTGATGATTTCTATCTAGAATTATCTCAAATTCAAATAAATGAAATTAATCAACAATTATTCGAGCATCAAGCTCATTTGTTTAAAAAATTAGTTTCCTATTTGTTAAATGATAATACAAAATATGCTGAAAATCCAGAAAAAATTGCACATTGCTTAATGATATACTTGGTTTCATTTTCCAATTATCCATCTTTTATGACTTTTCAATTGAATCATCTAAATAGGTTACTTATTAACATACTCAAGATTTGTCATCAGCATCCACAAATATTTGAAATATGGTTGGCTTTACCTGAATATACCGAGAACCAGTCATTAACCATTAGATCATTAATTTCACCGTCGAAGCCACCAAATTCGAATTTTGCTTTATACGACATTCTCATAAAATTATTTATTGATTATGATCAGTACGAGAGTTCTCAACTTTTACCAAAACTTTTGAAACTTACAAATAACTCTCCACAATTATTAACTTGGTTTTATGAACATGATCAAATGGAAGATGCCTTCACAGAAAAACTAGCATTGGTTCTTCGCGAAGCAGTACAGAATCGAAAAATTCCCCAACCAGTTCAAGATTCATTCAACAAATATACCCAAATCTTGATTGAAATTATTGAAGTCAGTGCTCCAAGGTTAAGTAACAAATTCTATGAAATATTCGAAACCAATTTCCTTAATAAAATGCTTGACAGGAAATTACATATTCATTGTACTTCATTCTTATTCTCAATATTGAAAACTCTTACAGATAATTCTGGAACTACATTCACTTTAGAACGAATCACAGGAAACAAATATTTTATATCTTATATTAACAAGATTATTGAACAAAAGCATGATAATCAAGAATTTTTACATGTGCTATATAGCTTATTCCTAGAGCATGACATTGCAATCTTAAAATTAATGGGATCGCCAGAAACTCCTCTTGAATACCCCTGTCCTATTATAGACCTTAAAATTAAAACAATGAAAATCCATCAATGTAAAACCAATGAGGTTGCCAGACGGTTGGAAACTCTTGTAAAGAATAGCTTTCATTCAATTGGTATGTTTTCTTTCTTTCTGACAAGTCAAGTATCAAAATTATACCTTCATTTATTATTAGATTTCTTCAAAAGACCTCCTACTGAAAACCTTATAGTACTCGATTTGTCTTCACAGTTGTTTCTTAAGTTAAACATGTACAATAACCAACAATTCAGAAGTGTCTTAGAATACCTCTATGATTCCTATATGTTCTACCAAGACTTGCTACATCAAAATGATCAATATAGGTTCGATTCGATTGAATTACAAAGATTAAAGGAAAGTAGATATGTCCCTCCTAGTCCTGATTTATTAGAAGAATTACAAATTGATAATTATGAATCACAAACTGAAATCATTGATTATCACCATTTAAGATCAAATTTACAATTTTTTCAAATCAACTTTCTAACAGAATTATACGTTCATTCTAAATTTAAACATATTCTAGTTAATTTTGAAATGCTTCCAAATCAAAACACATATTTATCTTCTTAAATAGTCAATTAAAACTTTCTTATGCAAAACACCATAATATTTCCCATCTTTTAGTAAAACAATTACTCTAGTTCCAACTCGATCAAAAATTAAATGAGCGAAACTTAATTCACTATCATAATTTATAAATATCGGATGATAATCAATAAATTTCGTAAAGTCCGTCAACTCTTCTAATGCCAATAATAGGTTAATATAACCATCGGTGGGGATTGATCCATAATTGAAATAATCCTCTTGTGATTGGAA